GCTCTGCCTACCACGGGTATCGAAACCCGGATTTTAGCGTTGCAATTCCGCAGACATACCGCTGTGCCACTAGGGGGCATTGTGTAGCATATTATTAAGTAGAATTTTCAACACATATTCTTAAGTAGAATGTACAACACCTATTGAAAAAAACTGTAATCACGTTTATGTATTTTTTTTCAATGCTTGATGAGTTATTGGAAAATGTTAGTAAGTCAAGAAGAGAAAACAGAAGAATAAAAAAATAAAGTCGAGATTAAGTATTTGTTCACCGAGAGGAACATTTAAAAAATTTAAAGGATTCATGTTTACGGACAACAATTAGATGTTTTACTTACCTTCTTTCAGACCAAGACAAGTTCCCCATTCGACCAGGGTGATAATATGGTCGCTATCCAAATCACAACTGTCCAAAAAAGGGGCAATACAATGCTCCATGGCCAACAGTGGTGCTCGAATTGGGAATAGCTCATGACGAGAAACAGCTCTAGTGTATAACAGATATTCCACAATTTTTACCACAATTCACTAAACTTTAACGAGAAAAGAAATTATCAAAAGCTAGAAAATTACACTACTGACAGAGTTTTAATGGTTGTGTTGTAGTTTGTATGTAAATTGTTAATAATGAGAACGCATACGAAACTGATAGATGGTATATTATTCAAAAGAAACAGAAAAAAGTAAATATATAAACATGTTCAATATATTTTTACCTTTTTTAAAAAAGACAAATACGATTAACTTGAGTAATTTTGTTTTTAGTCTGTAGTTACCGATATGTATTATGTTTATTTTCATGATATTACCAATATCAGGGGAGAAACACTTCATACATTACCTATCTTCCGGATGAGCATCCAGGTCACAAAACTTCCAAACAATAGCGTTTACCCATTTGAGGGACAGATCTTGCTCTGCCTCCTCTTCTAGTTTCATGTAGTATTTATCAAGCTCATTTCGTCGAGCTAACTCCTGCATCACAGCAAACAGCCACTCACGCATTCTTCGGGGGAAATCTCCCATCTCCTCTTTCGTACAGTCTGGAATTTCTGATTTGAACAGATTCAAACTTAATATTACAAATAATTTTTTTGATCCCAATTACCATATTAATGCAATCACTTTACTTATGCAGGTAATTATAACAGGATGAATGTCCACAAGAACGTTTTGGTTAAGAGACACCAAATTAAAAAGAACTTTCAACTTGTAAATGATTAAAAGATCTATTAATCTAGCATGTATTTTTAACACAAATAGATGTGTTCCACCAATAAACGAGAAGTGGTAGCTGTATATAAGCTCATAACAAAAGGTTAATATTTTAAGTAACTATTAATCTTAAGACTTATTTCCTGCTTAAAGGAACTCTTGCCTATTTTTTTATGCGCCGTAAACGTTGAAAAGTCTATATCAAAACGTAAGATTGTTAAAAACAAGTTGTTGTGATGAATAATTATGTAACTAAAATAATTTTTATCTCACAGCAAAAATTCGATCATGAAAAAAATCATTAAGAGTTTGAAGAATCGATTGGACTTGTTGGTAAAATTAATAAATATTTAAAATTAAATTAAAACATTTAATTTTTTTTGGAAAAAATTAAGACATTGGCTGAAAATATTTTAGATATTTTAAATTAAAAAACTTAGTCAGTTGTAAAGAAAGCATTAAATGTTTAACGATTCAGAAATGCTTCGTCCTGTTCAGCAAAGTTTTAAACGTACGTAAATAAAAATAACAAAAGTAGTTTGTAAGGGTAAGAAAAGAACAAAAGTGGTCGCTATCTCGACCAATCAGGAACCTAGAAAACAAATATAACAAGTGCAACATGAAAAAAGCACACTGGTACAGAAATAAAAAAATCTTAATTTCTCAAAGCTGATCTTTCTAAAGATGTTTTCGTTAATTGCAGTCTTAAAAAAATAAAATTAAAACTACAACCGTAGAAGGTGTTCTCTGTTAAAAAGAATTTTCATTTTTGATTTTTGATCATGGCCTTGGGACAACTGAATGGACATACCTCTACATATTCCGTAATAATTAACATGGACATGGTTGTATTTCTTCTTAAGACATTCTTCACGGTCTTTGTTACATAAACATCTCACACGATAGACTTCACAATCACTGCTCCAAGTCTCGTTATGGTTACTACAGACCTGTAGGTGTTGGTAAAAATAGTGAAATTAGACTATGTGTTTGGATATGGGATATCTGTACTCTCAACCGCAGGTATCGAAACCTGATGTTTTTGAGTTACAAGTCCCTTGAGTTGCTGCTGAGTCACTGGGAGGCAGTCAGTTGGTGAACAATGTGAAACGGATGAAAAGTATTAAAATAACATGAGAAAATTTGCTTTTATCTATTATGAATTTTAAACAATTTCACCCCAATTAATAACATACCATTCTATTGTGCTAATGTTATTTATATTTCTGCTGTATTGTGTGTGTGTGTGTTGTATAGCAAAACCACATCGGGCTATCTGCTGTGTTCACCAAGGGGAATCGAACTCCGGATTTTAGCGTTGTAATTTCTTAGGCTCACCGCTGACCCACCGGGGGACATGTATCATGCGTACTATTATATAATTTTGGAAATTTATTAACCCTCCAACGGCTCAGCGGTAAGTCTAAAGGGTTATAATATTAAGAACCGGGTTTCAATACCCGTGATTAGCATAGAACAGATAGCTCATTTGTACTTAACTACAAACAAACAAATAATCTACCTAAAAAATCATGTTATACAAATCGTTAGTAGTAATCAACATCAGTTTACTGCATTAGAGCGTGCCGAATTGTTTAATACAAATTTCTTCTGTTTTACCAAATGTAACACATTTTTCAGTAGAATTCAAACACGTTCTGAGAATGTTGTATTCTGTTATTTTCTATGTTTGTTTCGTATTTATAATACACAACCGTTGCACTTTGCGTTTTACCTTTCTACGCTCATCTGTCTCAACTGGACACTGGGGGACACAGTCACATATAGGCTCATCTTGGTCATTTAAGGCACAGATACGACCAGCGCCACAGTAGTGTCCAGCACAAGGATCTAAACGTTATAAACAATGTTTGTTACTGACACACAAATAATTGGTTTGCATATTAATACATTCACTTCATCATCAAACCACTCAAGTGTTACTCACAGATTACATTAAAAAACGTTAATATATATATATATATATATGATGTACATTCTCAACATTAGTTTTAAGATATTTACATATAGAAGCATTTGAGCAAAGATGCAGCAAGCTAAATGATCTTAGTTTTAAAAAAAGCAGAAGAGCGTATATGTATGCACTAGTTCGTATTAGCAGTTTAGAGCAGCTTTCCTTAGCAATGCTTTAAGATAGTCTCACAAAATACTTTGTGTGGCGGATTCTGTTTTATGGTTTGAATGGTTTTTATAAACCCATGCTACATTTACTTACAAGTACATTTTGTCCTTTGTACATTTTTTTTTCACATTCTAGCGTGATTTATTTCAGCCTTTTCGGTGTTGGTTAATTTAATGAAAATTTGTTTTCATTATGGTATAACGTATGTTGCATATTTTACGTTAAGTTACATAATAGAGTAGTGAATTTTGGTATGACCCATTGTAAAGTTTCTTTTGTTTTGTTATCACGTTTTTAATGACATTTAAATATCATATTATTGTATTCGTATATGCCAAAAAAAGGTTGTGATTAGGGACAGATTTTTCCAACTGGTAGCACATCCACGGCTCTTCATTCTCAAGCTATGGCTTGACGACAAATAAAATTGGTAGATATGTGGTTTAATTATAGCTCAGTATTGTAGCCCGACTGGATCTCATGTGAACACCATAGGATCCAGGAATATTTTTAATTTTTGTTATGTTCACTAGAAGGTGATTTGAGATGAACATTACGAATTACGTTTAGTTTCTTTACCTCCAATATTGGTAGAGTACAGGGACATTGGTAGTGTACAGGGACAACAAAGCATGCCTCATCTCACATATTTAACAATAGTGAACAGCAAACATCTATCAATTACCAAAGGTTTTGACAAGGAGATAAATAGGATTAAACTTATGATATAGATATCTGAAGCAATAAAAATCCAACTGTACCATCTATGATAATATAAATTGGGCTTCAGTGTAAGTTCAGACACAAAATTAATATCATGGAAACTCTGTGGTAATGCAACCAATAGTTCGTTTGAAATTAATAATAAAGGTAGATGAGTATATCTTGTCCCTAATCACCCTCAATATATTTGGTAAACAAATTAACGTTTAATAAGAATTATTTTTTTCAAAATATTCTTTTATATGACAGAACCTACTACATCTTTTAATGTTCTACTTGGTAATGTTTTAAAGTTGTTGTAGTCATATTATGATTATTGATTTATTTTGCATTAAAAAAACCTTAAATAATGTTTATGCACTGATACTATTGTTTTAATTACTGTGTTACAATTAGTTGAATACCATGCTAATTAGAAGCATAATGTACATCTAGGAGCAATTTTATCTGGAGTGATTAAAATGACAATAATGGGCACCATCTAAACATGTTTGCATTAAATAATATTTACATTATTTATATTCAAATTTATATTTATATCTATTTTTGAATAAAAAAAAAGTACTAACAGTAATAAAATCTACTTTTTCACAACAAACATAATTTTACTTGTAATTTAACGAGTTGTAAATAAAATACTTAAAAATTAAGCAATAAAATCGTTATTTATACCTCTAGTATTTATTATAAAGCAACAAGCAGCTCTTACGAGCACTGCTTTAAAATGTTTTCTGAAGAAGGCAGCGAAGCGTTCTCTAGTGGTCGAAATTAAAATTACTTACGTTTTTTCTCACTTTCCACTGAAATAAATAAAAAATAAAGAAAAACATTTAAACTTATATTCTTGTTACTTTAGATTCTGTATTTAAAATGAAGTATAACTATTAAACATACTTTTGTTACTATTTATTAAATCAGTAGGTTCTATTGGTTGAAAAATATGCTTAAAATTTAGAAAACAAAAGAAGTGTGACACTTGTCAAGTTAGTTTGTTTGTAATTAAGCACAAAGCTGAACAATGTGCTTTCTGTGCTCTGCCCACCACGGGTATCGAAACCCGGATTCTAGCTTTGTAAGTCCGCAGACATACCGCTGTGCCACTGGAGTGTGATACTTGTCAATGAATAATGTTACATAAATAAAATTTTTACTCTGATCCAAAGCGTACCCCAATGGGCGAGCGGTAACTTTATGGACTTACAATGCTAAACTCCGAAGCTCGATTTCCCGTGGTGGATAGAGCGCAGATAGCTTATTGTGTTGCTTTGGACCAAAACAAACAATCTGTGCAAAACATTTTTGATTTAGTAGCCGAATCGACGACTTAAGGAAGTAATATATACTGTGAATTATTCCGACGCTTGGAATCAAATAGTCTTATAATAGGGATACAGACATGATATACTGTATTCCCTTGCATGCATTGTGACCAAATTGTGCATGTCAACGACTTCAAAACATTGGTTATTACGAAATGCCAGCTTTAAACTAGCTAACCCGGATGACACTTGTGTCTTACGTCATGAACCTAATCTAATCAGTAAAATTCAAAGATAGACACAACTGATTTCACAGTACACAATAGATCATAAACAGCTGGGTTAGTTTCAAACAACACGTGAACTAGTTTATTCTAAGTTTTGCACCTTTTTTATTGACATCAAGGATAGTAAAGAGCATTGACGAAATTAACGACAATTAATCATCTTTTCTTAAACCCAGTACATTTTTCTTTATAGCATGTTTGGTTAAGCAGGAATATAAAACACAAGCCACAGTCAAACTTATTGACAGTACATTATCAATAAGATTAAACTATTCATTATGTTTGTGTTAAGGAATCCAATGACTCGTGTCCTTAAGTCGCTTTAAATTCACATACATGTAAATGGTGGAATCCCTCCCGTGCCAAGATGGCACATAGGAACCAGTGCTGAACTCAGGCTTAATTGGAACAAACTGAAAAATCCCCCCCCCCACACACACACACAGTAAAATAGTCTAACAAAGCTATTAGATACAAAACTGGAAAACGAAACTCAATTGTAACAGTCAGTTTCAATGATGGCAAAGATTATTTTTAAAAAACAAAACAAACCTAGACCTGAATTAGAGAATGATATTACTGCAACATAATATAAATCCCATTTTACTTTTACCACGTGGTTATAAAATCAACGAAGGTTTTGAGAAAAATATATTTAAATACTTTATACTTAACTGGATTTGAGTATTTTTAAGGAAGTAATTAGTCGATTCTCCTTGAACCTTGGTATTTTACTTGGGCATTGCTAAAGCATATCTAAAACAGTCATAATTTACTCATAGTTAATGTCATCGAAAAATCACGATGAAACCAATGAGGAAGGAACTAGAATTTGAGATAGAAATCTTTAGCATATTTGGAAACGTTGTACACGTCACACGTGTAAAACTTATCAATCAAATAAACGTATAAAGTTACATATTCATTAAATTGTATTTGCTTCGAGTTACAAGTAAAAATAACTTAATATTAAAAGGTAAAAATAAATTGAAAAATCAGTATTTTATTACAATAATGTTGATCATATAAATAAAATAAACTGTTTGACTTTTCCTGATATTTACCTTTCGGGGTCTTTAGTTCTTCTTCTTCGTCAATGACTTCATTTTTCTGTTCTTTTTCTTCAGCTTCGTCATCAGCAATCAAGTCTAATTCATCTTTCTTATCATCGTCTACATTCTCCTTTTCAATCTCGTCCCTCAACTTTTGCTAGTAACATCACATTGTTTAGCTTTGTTATTTACATTTTAATAATAGAGCACACCTAAATATTAAAAATATTTGAACATAAAAATGTTTGAATCGTTTATATGTTATGAAAGGTACAAGAAGTAAGAGATGTTTTCCTGAGATAATATACGAATTCTCTGTATTAGTTTCCCCTACAAACATGTTTACCAAATAAGGAAATGTTCCTCGCTATTAACTAGTTTTCAACATAAACCTGGTTTACTATGATATACCTACAATTGTTCATGTTCTTGAAAATATTTTAGAGCCAATTGACTGCATTAATTACTCTGTTTTTGACGTTACCCTAAAATATCCGTTTTGAAAGAGGAGACGAGTTTTCTAAAACCTACCTTTTTTGCCAAAGTATCAGTATACAGAATAATGCAGAACAGTAGCACAAGAATAAACTTCATTTTGCTAGTATTCAGTAAGAAAAAACCTAGAAAAACAAACAGAAGTATCCATCAAAACCGTTGTTAGAAAACTGTATTTAGCAGATAAAAAATAACAGTAACAATAAAAGGTAAACATTGACCAAACATTATTTTCCTTTATAGCGATTTAATAACAGAAGTATCCATCAAAACCGTTGTTAGAAAACTGTATTTAGCAGATAAAAAATAACAGTAACAATAAAAGGCAAACATTGACCAAACATTATTTTCCTTTATAGCGATTTAATAACAGAAGTATCCTTCAAAACTGTTGTTACAAAACTGTATTTAGCAGATAAAAAATAATAGTAGCAATAAAAGGCAAGCATTGACCAAACATTATTTTCCTTTATAGCGATTTGATAACAGAAGTATCCTTCAAAACTGTTGCTAGAAAACTGTATTTAGCAGATAAAAAAATAATAGCAACAATAAAAGGCAAACATTGACCAAACATTATTTTCCTTTATAGCGAGTTAATAACAGAAGTATCAATCAAAACCGTTGTT